TAGTAGTAGTAGTAGTAGTATCCGCATGCAGTCGCCCGATATTTCTACTGCAAGAACCAGCAAAACCTCATTCTGAGAAGTATCGCCCTTATATTACACACCAAGAAATCCAAGAAAGCTGGCCATTCAAGAAATATAAGAGCCTGAATTTAGGTTAGAGACGCTTAGCGACAAATATTGCACATTGTTTCCGCCCGAAAGACTCCTAACCCTTGAACCCCAAAAGGGTTCCGACAAGGAACCTCCTCCTCGCCCACCCCGCCCCGCCCCCCCGCCCTAAACCCTAATACCTAAACCCTATACCCTAAACCCTAAACCCTAAACCCTAAACCCCCAAGGGGGTGGCGAGGCGAGCATTGAGCTAAAATGGGAAATCGGGCGGTTGCAGACCCTTGCCAAAGGCTCCGGCATCTGCAGTGCTAGGGTTTGGGGAATTTAGGGTTTAGGGTTTTGGGGGTTTAGGGTTTAGGGGCTTAGGGTTGAGGGGTTTAGGGTTTAGGGGTTTGGGGGTTTAGGGGTTTAGGGTTCAGGGGTTTTGCAAAGAATTTTGGGCATAGGACTAGCCTTAGCACTCGCCTTAGGGCTAAATTTAAATTAACCGTGGCAGTGAGAAGACGGGTTTAGAGTGTTCCCGGGCAAGGGCCGGACGTTGTGCGCGACGAGGGCTTCTGTTCCGGGGGTCCAGATATAAGAACCTAGCTTTCTGACTGCTACCTGTGACCCCTAAATCCTAAACCCCCTAAACCCTAAACCCTAAACCCTAGACCCTAGACCCTAGACCCTAAACCCTAAACCACAGCTACTTCGTCTGTAGCTAAGCCCACGGCAGCTGCACTGCTCGCAAGCCCCACAAAAAACGTACTATTCCTCGAAAGCACATTCGAGTACTATAGGGGGCTGACGAATAAGAAGACAGTTTTGGGTTTAGGGTTTAGGGTACTATATGGGACATACGAATCAGAAGACAGTTTTGGCGCGTTGTCTGTTACTTAGGGGCTGAATACCCTAGCCCAAAAAAGGTTAACCTTTTGAATTATGGTAGGATCATATAAGCCCCAAAAAGTTAGAGGTTTCCTATTCAGCCCCTGAGGTTATATGTACAGCAAAAAGGGGGCCCTCGGGAATGGTGTTGAAGATTCAGAAACCCTAGAGCAGAAACCCTGGTATAGCCCCGTCGGTAGCCCCTAAACCCTAAACCCCTAAACCCCTAAACCCTTAACCCCTAAACCCCTAAACCCTAAGCCCTAAATCCTAAACCCTAAACCCTAAACCCTCTTGCCCTTTAGAGCCCCTGTAAAGTTCAAGAACCCACCGTGAGCGCCAAAGCCTCAAAGGTCTGGACTCCCGAAGCCCCTTTAGGGTTTAGGGTTAGGGTTCAGGGTTCAGGGTTCAGGGTTTATAAGGGTTTAGGGTTTAGGGCCTTTTAGGGTTTAGGGTTTAAGGCCCTGAAACTCAACAGCCCTACCTTAAAAAACACAAGAACCTGCCTTTTTCAGGACTTGTACACAAGGAAATCATGAAAAGGAACCTCAACAGATGTTCTTCTTTCGGCGCCTAAACCACTGTGCAGCTCTTTGCTCGAGCTTGGTCACGGTAGGCTTTAGGGTTGAGGCTTTAGGAAATGGTCATGTTCTTGGTTTCCTTCTAAGGTATTAGGAACGCTGGTTCCTTGTTTGGCAGCTTGCGCATGGATAGGCAAGCACAGAAGTCCGTGGACCATCAGCAGCTTCTTTGTGTGATTATTGAATTTTGGTTCGAATCCCTTCCGCCACAACCCTTGACCCCAAACCAATCCCTAAGCCACCAACCGAACGCGAAACCACAAACCCCAAACACCAAACCCTAAACCCTAAAGCCCGGAAGCCTAAGCCCAGCCCGGGTGTTCGGCCGCCATGCAGGTGAAAGTGACTACTCGGCGCTCGTTGCAAGCTTCGTGCGCAAGGCATTCAGGGTGTGCGGGGACTTTTGCGGCCAAGGTTTAGGGTTTAGGGATTAGGGAGATACTCGTGCCCGTTGTCCTTATTGCTGTGATAGTCGGCCCTATAGCATGGGAGCATAAGACATCGTAGAATGAAACACAGCAGCGTTTTCTCCTTACCCACAAAGCCCTATATCGGAGTGAAAACAAGAATTGACCAGAAGACTTTGTTGTGGTCCGGGTCGTCCGCATGGCAAGGTCAAGGCTGCCAAGATCAGGTTGCCGAGCTCAACCTTCTCAGACCTCTGGACTACAGTGCAAAGCACCGAAACCAAAAGCAGATGCGAAATCCTATAATCTACAGTCCAATGATCCCGAGAAGTCTTTGTAACACCGCGACATGCCGCCGCAGAGGTTGCAAGGGAAGCCGTGAGCCCTTTTCAAGGGAGGACATGCTCATGTGCCAAACGCGTTTATCTTACATTTTACGCACATATACATACATGCATATATATATATATATATATAATATATATATATATATAATCTCGGAATGACAATAATTATTGTTATTAATAATAATAGTAATAGCAAGAGTATCAATACTAATAAAAATAAATAAACAAAAATAGATATATAAATATATCTACAAAAACACACCTATATGTCTAGAAGCAGAAAGTCGTGCAAGGGCTTTCAACTTCCCGAGCTCCTGGATAGGTTTCGAGCAAAACTGCTTCAACGACGTGGCCTTGAAGGGATTAACAACTCCCAAATCTCAAAGCAGGAGGTCCCACAGGTCCGCAGCGTTGCAGCTCGTGTCAAGCCTGTGCGGGCCTGCTTTGCGGCTACAGCCGTAAACACTGGAGCTGCCCGAGGAATAGCACGGAGCGGTTGTAGCAGTTATACCTTTGTACTATAAATACTGCTTCCCGGAGTTCTTTGACATAAAAACAGGGAATTATAGGAAGCCCCCACAAACTCCAGTTTAAGTACACGGGCCTCTGGACTGTCGATGTGCCACAGGGGGGTTTTCTTGTCAGTGAGTCTGCAGGTGGAGAAGACCCAGGCGAGTGGAGCAGCGCCGCGCCGCTTCGGAGAGGAACGAGGAGAGCGAGGTGCTCCTGTTCTCTCCCGCATTCTACTGATGAATAGATGGGTGGATGGTTGGATAGATCGATACTTCGGTAGGTACCAAAACAAGGTAGAGACATGGACAAGCAAACAGACAGACAGACAGACAGACAGATAGACAGACAGATAGATGACATATAGACACATAGACAGATGGACTGACGGAAAGACCGACTCAAACAGACGGACAGATAGACAAGTAGACAGATGGACAAAGCAGTGTAAGCAGAGGAGCAGCTGGTAGACCAGAGATCTGTACTATCAGTGGACAAGCCGGGGTCGACATGGATATGAGTTGCCCTTTCACCTTCTTGCACAGGTGGCCCTGAATTCTAACCCTAAACCCTAAATCCTGAATTCTATAACCCTCAACCCTAAACCCTGAATTCTATAACCCTAAACCCTAAATCCTGATCAATAAAACCCCCAAGCCTCAGGATTTCCTCGGTTGCCTCCCAAATTCAAGGGAAGCTGGGAGGGAAGACGAAGACATGCTTTGCCCCCAAGAGTAATAGTAATAGCCATAATAATAATGATAATATTGTTGATAATCATATAATGGAATAACAGTCATAGTTAATGGTATGATAATATTATTAATAATGATAACAATAATGTTAATGATAGTAATGTTCATAGTAATAATCATCATAAACATAATAGTCATAATCGTAGCAATAATATCAATAGCAATATTAGCAGTCTTTCTTGCCGTACTTCCATGCTGTGTGGTCGGAGTGGAGAGCTTTTTTGGGTGTTTCTATGCACTGATTCACTGATGCCAACTTATTTGCTTTAGTTCTGCTGTGCCTCTCTGAGCAACTTCCCATCATCTCCCATCGTCTCATGAGACTTCCGAGTATACTGTAGTGCGTTGCCATGAAGCAGTGTAGGGTCTAGGGTTGACTTTGGGTTTAAGGTTTATGGGGGTTGGGGCTGCGGGCATTCCAACCATATCCAGAACCTGGCACCGTAAGCCCGGAAGCGACGTGACAGGTGGCACTTCATCTCTGGATGACTTTCGTGCACGAGACTTGTCTTGGACCACCTCTGGGTCTCCTATATGGGTAGTTCTCTGAAGTAGGGTTCCTTTTTAGGTTCCCAATATAGTACGGCACCCTTATAAAAAGGACCCCAAAAGGGACCCTAATTGAAAACTACCCATATATTACCATACTTGCTTGTATGGAAAGCAGCGACTTAGCTGTCCGTGTATATGTTCGGTGTCGTTCAAAGAACCCTTAAACCCACAAAACTCCTGGCCCCATAAACCTAAGCCCTAACCCCTTGATCAACACCCGAACCCTGAACAGTCAAATCCCTACGCCCTGAAGCCCTGAAGCTGAAAACAGTAAAACCA